ATGCTTCGCGTCGCCTGTGGTTCACGCCTGCCGTGACCCATGTCTCCCCGTACTCTTTTCTAGGCTCTTGTCGGAACCTTGTCTTGCAGCCGTATTAGTCATTAATGGCCTCGGACATCGCTCGCCTCGAACGTGTGAAAAATTTGGTCAATTCATTTATAGTGATTTTCGTGCTGGAACCTTGGTGGACCGTGCCAGGACCACTGACCGCCCTGCCTTTATAAGCAGGGTCTGGCTTAGCTATTGGTACCACCACCCGGTGCACTTTAGCTCGCCTAGCTTTTCCTTTTGAGCCAGCTTTTCACTCAGTCCTTCATTGCAACCACTGCCAACGATGGCAGGAGCCTGGGTTAGTAGTTACTGCCCGAACACTGAGGGTTTCCCCAAGATCCTGTATGCCACCCTGCAAAAGCTCGAAGTCAAAGATCATCTCGAGTATGAGGGTCGTGAGTATGAAAAGCATGGCACTGAGCGGTGTGAAGTTACCGTCTACATCGGGAAGAGTGAAGAGTTCCCCGACATCACTACAACCGGGTTTTGCTTCGTCGACACTTACCAGGTTGTGGCCCGCAAAGCCTTGCGGTACCTTTGCTAGATCTATGAAGAGCCCATTGCCCGTGCCCCCATGAGGTTCTTTCCACCTTTGGAAAAGAATCGACGGGCATGGAGGGCTCACATGGAGGCTTTGCAAGGACGGAATGCGTAAGAAGATAGTCCTACCACGGTGCACTTGACCATGTACCTACTTGCTCTTGATGAGCAACATGACCGGCAAGCTTCGGAGCTGAGGAAGTGCCTTCGACGAGCCGAGGAAGCCGAGATCTTCTCCAGGATACTCCAGGTGCAGCTTGCCAAAGCGCATGCCAGTGCGGCAGCCGCTGAGAGTCGGGAGACTGCCATGTCAGAAGCTCTAAAGGAGGCTGAAGATTGACATGCCCATCAATTGGGAGAGGCCTACCTTGTCACCAGGGCCAAGCGGAGGACGCTGGCTGCAGAACGGTGGGATCCCTTGATCATGGAGGGGATCCCTGTTCACCCGCTAGAAAGAAGGAGAACCGGTGTTGTAGTGCCGCCAGCACCTCCACCCTTGGAAGTGTCAGAAGTAGAACCCTTGATTCCTCTCACTCAGCCGTTGCCAAGAGAGGAGGCAGATCCATAGCCAGGGCAATAGAAAAATCCGCCGAGCCCGGGAATGAAGATGCGTGGGCCAAAGTAGATTAGTTACCTTGAGATGATGTACCCGTAGTTAGTAGTGTCTTTTGTCACTGTCCACCGGTATTGTAATCTTTCCGTTGTATTTCATCCGTAGTTGTTGGGGTAGTCCGATCGTAGGAAAGGTGAACGATGTGTCGAGAATGGGAGAGTAAGTGCCTGTATGTTGTATCAGCATAAGGACATTCAGAATATGCATTTTATTTATTTTGTTGTGTTATTACATCCATCTACCTTAAGTCTCGTTAGACGTGCTTAGGGTTTTCGAGGGCGATGTTAAGTGGGTTACAAGAGAAATTACCATTTGGATGCGAGCAGACCAGCCGTGATTGGATAACATAGGCCACTGTATCGACTAATTGTGGATGTCCCAGCAGAACACTTGAATCTCTTTAAATCAAATCCGTTGCTGGATTTGAAGTCCTTGTCCCTTGTTGCGAAAGGAACCCTTGTTGTTTGAATCTTCCCTTGCAATACTCCTATGATTCTGTGGTCTATGACCCCACCATCTTCATTGCGTGTAAGTTGGTAGTAGTTGCCTGGTTAATAGCTTATGGTGCCACGACAAAATCGAGGGCCCCTATGGAACAGCTGCCACATGGTGACGCTGCTCGGCATGCACTGGTATCGAGGTTGTTGACCAAGTACCTTTACTAAGTTACACCGCCATACCACTTTTGATACAAATATTCGGGTGTTTGAACAAGAAATCCACAATGGGTTGATGAAATAGTGTTCTATCAAAGTAAACAAGAGGAGGTGGTTTCGGAGGAAGTATGTATGTTGCGATCTCACTTCATACAAAGGTTGGCGCATATTGTGGACAAGGAAGGGAAGGAAAGAACACCTAGAAAAAGTTAGCCTTGGATAGTAGGGAGTGCTTAGAAAAGCTTGAGTGGATGTCAAGTCCCAAGCACTGTGCCCAGCTCGACCACGCTACGCATGCCGGGTCGCTGTCACCGCGTGCCCCGCGGACGCTATCGGTGTCGGGCCCATTAGCACCCTATTCTCGCATGTCCATGACATCGTGTCGCACTCGCCGTCCTCATGCACTGTGCGCTTCTCCTTTTCCCGGCCTCTGGTCTGCTCTTAATCCTCGCCCTCGTCCCCGTACCGGACCCTGTCTCCCTTCTTTGTTCTTTTGGGGACACGGCCACCCGCACGTCTCCCTCGTCGAGCGAACCCTCTCTCCTCTCCTTTATTTCCCCCTCCGCTCGCTTGCGTAGGGAGCGCGCCATGGCCGACTTTATCCCCACAATGTGAACCGGCAGTGTATCCCATCCATGCCGTCTCCACTTCCGGTGTGCTGCGCCCCATCTCTGTTCGCCACTATAAGATGCCCTTGATCCTTGCTCTTCTTCTTCTTCATCCCCATCCCTCTCGAATCCGAAGCAGAGCTACGAGATCTAGTCGTCATTGTGGAACTAGGTTCGTCTGACAGAGGCGATGGTATAATCTGAGAAGAAGGGATTTAGTTTTCGAAGAAGTTCAAGTCTACCATTGATTAGTTTGGTCTTAGGGTTCTCGATGTTTGACTTCTCAGTCTCCTGTTTCTGGATCTGTTGGTCATACGCCATGTTTTGGATAATCATTATGTTGTTGTTTCTCCATTGCCCTCGTCTATCCCAACTTCTGGAGTAAGCCTTGGTTATACTAGGTTGCTCTTAACCATGTAACTTTAAATCCCGATGTAATTTAGTGTTCGACGTCGTGTAATCTTTCGTGTAATTCCAGATTTATGAAATGTGTTGTAGTTTTGTCTAAGGGGAGTGGATCCTAATTCACTCTTTTGTAAACCTTCGTGTTAGGAGACGTACTTGTGTTGTTGTTTTTTTTGCTCTTTCCACCTATAATGTAATCCTAGCCAATGTTGTGCTTTGAATCTAAGTGTGTTAGTTGCTTGAGCCCAACTCCATCAAATACTTCTTTTCACTAACATGTCATTTATTTGTTGGCTTAGAATAGACACCATGTAATGACAACCAACCTCTATGCTCGTTTACAACATTGTAATGAAAAAAACCATGTTATCTTTCCTTCCCATATTTTTCCATTCAATGTACCAAATAGACCAACCTTTCGTAACAACGTGATGAGAAAACATATTAGACATATAAGCCATATTTTCCAAGATTTTTTCTATATCAAGCACATCACCCGCAGCGAAGCATAGGCATCAGTGGCTAGTGCTGTCTACCAACCAAACACATCCTTAGAGAACACAACCCATCGTGACCATTCCCATCCTATCACCTCACACCCATAGAAGAGAAAAGTTCAAAAATTTGGATATTTGTCGTAAACTTGTAATCTCAAGGTATATACACTAATCTAGATCGTCCGTGAGATGACTCTATTTCAACTACAAACATACTCTATCTCAATGCATATACACTAATCTAGATCGTCCGTGAGTAAAATTCTATTTAGACCCCTAAAAATGAGAATGACTAGAAAAATAAAATTCTAGCACATTGTCACGTTTTAAAATCTTAAATTTAACTAATTATAAATAAAAAAGTATTAATATTTATGATATTAAATAAATACCATTAGATTAATTACGAAATATATTTTCATAATAAGTTAATATAGAGTCATAAATGCGAATAATATTTACTAAAAACTTGGTTAAACGTGGACTACTTTTGTCGACGCATAACCCATAGTTGCATTCTTTCCTAGAGAGACGGAGTAGTAGAAGATTTTCACTGTGCAAAGACCTAAGAATGAAAACTTTATTCTCAAAAAAATTATACGATGTTTGGTAATCATTTTAGTTTATGTTTTCTTTGAACCAACTAATAAAACTTTTAAAAGCTCTAGGCGATCCACGACGAAGTAACTTGTGACAAGGTTTTTATGATTTTCTAGTCTAGGTTACAACAATCCAAATTCATCTTTCTCAGACTTTTACCCAATTGTGAATTTTGCTTAAAGATCGAACTGTCATTAGAATATATTAAAACTTAGGAAGATAGGCCCGATTTGATTTTTATAGGGGCTCCTAAAATTTCTATCACATCGAATATTTAGACACATATATAGAGCATTAAATATAGACTAATTACGAAACTAATTACACAACTTGCGACTAATTTACGAGACAAATCTTTTAAGCCTAATTAGTCCATGATTTGACAACGTGGTGCTATAGTAAATATGTGCTAATGACAGATTAATTAGGCTTAAAAAATTCTCCTAAATTAACTCCATCTATATTTAACACTCTTTATTATTGTCTTAACATTCGACGTGATATAAATTTTAGAAGCCACTAGACTCATCCTTGAATAAACACGTCAGATCTGACGCCTGTTCACCACGTGCCTTTCTTCCTCCTTGGCTCTTCACTCTGCTGCCAGACCGGAGCGCACTGCACCTCCGTTTCTCTCTCCTCTCCTCGCCAAGTCACAGTCGCCAGTGGCCACAGTCCCCACCCGACTGCCTCCATAAAAAAATCCGAGCTCCAACAAACAACCACCGCAATCTCCATCCCCTTGCCTTCCCCCACACACCATCTCCTTTTCACTGTAGGATTTCTTTCTTTCCCTACAGATATTCCCAAAGAATCTTCTGTGTTGCTCTCCTCCTCGGATTCCTCTTCCCCTCCTCGCCTCCCACTCCAATTATTCCTCTCCCTACTGACTTGCTTTGCTTCTCTGTTATCTCTGTCCTCTCCTCCCACCTCGTGTTTCTTCTTCCTACCAGCGGAGCGCCAGCTGCGCGCTGTGCCTCGTGCCTAGAGGAACGCCCGCCGTAGGCAGAGCTTTCCTGACGGCGGTGCCATGTGCCTGGAGGAGCCGGAGGACGCGGAAAGGCTTGGTTTTGGTGACGCAGGGGTCGAGGAGCCCGCTGAGTTTCCCTTGGCTCAGGTTCGTGTCGAATGCTCGGTGCAAAATAAAAAATTCGATTTTGGGTAGTTATTTTGTTGCGTATGTGGATGAAACTTTCGATGTATATCTGTGAATCTGGTATCCCTTTTCTGTCGGTTCGTTTGAGTGATTGATCCTGGTATAAAGGATGGATTCAAAAGGAAGCAATGATTGTCTTTGCTTCGAGTACACGCCTCTGTTCATCCATCTGTCTTTTTTTCCTCTGCAAGAATCTAGGCGATTTCGTGTTTAGTTGGCGCTAATGAAGGTGTAGATCAGAAGGTGATTTGAACTGTTCAATAAGGCAGAGTTAGGTTTCTTGCATTGTACAGTTAATCTTGCATTGTGGCTGGAATGGTCGGTAGCTGTTTCCTGGTGAACGGTGGCAGTTGTTATTTGCGGCTGGCCCACGCTTTTCATCATTTCTCAAGTTGCTTCGATTTTGTACTGTATACTAAATTTGTCAAACTGTCCGATCATTTGCTTGCTCATTCTGAGGTGCTGTGACAGAGAGGTACAACTAATTTCTGACTATAGTACGTAGCAAACAGGAAATGTCAGGATATTTGAAGGACAGCATATTTTTCCTGTATTTCTGATTGTAGCTGAAATTTCTTCAGAGTAGTACGTACTTGCCAACGGCTCATGTACTTGATTTCTCTATCAAGACTGAAATGTAATGAAACAAAACCTGTTTTTTCCGTGCTGATACCAGTTAAGTCATCATTTTCCTGAAGTGGTCCATGTGATTACTACTGACTTTGAAAGGCTTGCTACCCACATCGTGATAGAAACTGCAAGATTTTTCTTCCATGGCTTGTGAGCTACAGTAATTGGATTTTGGGTGTTGCTGTCATGGGTGGATTGTCCTTTTATAGACTGGTAATGTTGATTGCCAGCATTAATTTGTGCCAAGGAATAACCAAATAGTACTGAAGCTTGTAGTTTCAGATGTTTTTTATCAATTTACGAACTCAGGCTCAGCTTGTTGTATCATATTAGCCACTGATGCTCTGCATATCAAGGACAATTATTTCTAAAAATTTTTACTGTTCCAACTAAGGTGGAAACTAATTCATTAAAATAGATGAGTTAATGTCTCCTATAGCTTAATGTGCTTCTTTCTGACGGTAACTTCTGAATTTGTTTGAGTGCAAGCACCGAAGTAGAATTGATAGCCATTTGGATTTGGGTTTATGATTAATTGAAGTAATGAAGTTTCCTTATATTAGTATGTTCAATGCTACTTGCGCTAACTTGACTTTGTGATTTCATGTAATTTAGATCAGCTTATCTATAGATTCACATTCAGTGCTTCCTGTATTGCATTCTTGTGCACTGATCCTGTTTACATGCAGATGGAGAGAGTTTGCGAAAACACAACTTCTGCTGATTTCAGGCAGAAGTTAAGCAATTTTGTTCCAGTAATCCGATCGGGGGATTGGTCTGATATTGGAGGTCGCCAATACATGGAAGATACCCATGTGTGCATTCCAGACCTTGCTAAGAACTTTGGCTTCCCATCGTTAGATAATGAAGTTGTTTCCTTCTATGGGGTAAACACATGCCATCTTACCCACTTCTATTTTACCTTTCCTAGTTTGATAGACCAATCATATTGCCAAACACGCACATCAATAAGCAGTCTATGCTGATGGTAAATTCTGAGTACATCACTAGAATACCCCATATAAAGAAGAGGACTTAATAACAAATTTGGTCCGCACTGCACCAGGCCACCAGCCTAGCAGTAGAACGTTGAGGTCGCTCATCGAGTCAAGTATATCATATGTGTAGTTCATTGCAATATCAGAAGCTGAAAATAGGCTTATAGTTTTTTTTCTCCTTCCAGAAAATGAGTCTGCCTCTTTTGATGTATGCAGTTGTTTTCCTTGGTTAGTTATTTAAGTTCAATGGAACAAATTCATGTCTTAGTAAACTTATTCTACATATGTACAGCTAGTAATATACAGATCTGTGCTCTCAGATAATTTCATTGAGTTGCACACTTGCTCATCTAGATAACCACGTTATCATTCTGCATGCACGATTCACAAAAACTTGATATTTCTCTTAGGTATCTATTTTCTCCATTTCAATAATCAGGTCTTTGATGGTCACGGTGGAAAAGATGCTGCCCATTTTGTTCGTGATAATTTACCAAGGGTGATTGTGGAAGATTCAGATTTCCCTCTTCAGCTTGAAAAGGTTGTGAGGAGGTCCTTTATGCAGATTGATTGCCAGTTTGCTGAGACATGCTCTCTCCATAGAGCAACATCCTCCGGCACAACTGCACTTACAGCAATGATTTTTGGAAGGTACTTTCCTGTCATAAGTATGATGATCCCCAGCTTTTCGTAGTATATTTAAGAGTTCTTTATTAATATCATGATCTGTATATGTATATAATCGGTTTCCTCAAATCCTTATTGTTCAATGTCTACCATATGGATTACATAAGAAATATTTTAGTGGACATCTGGTGAAAATGTATCAAGTATCTTTTAGAACTAAAGCTACAGTGTTCAATCATGTCTGTACAATATTTCATCTCATTTCAAGGGCATGTTTGGATACAAGGGCTAATTATTAGCTTAGCAGGAGGGCTAATAGGTTTTCTACTAGTTGTTAGCCAACTAGCTAGCTGGCTCTAGCTAATTTGGGCTAATTTTTAGCCCCAACTAGTAACTAGCCCTAGTGATCCAAACAGGCCCTAAGTTTTGCCTTTTAATGTTGTACTTATAGCGCTAGTACCATGGCTGTTCAGCAACTGTGTTGTACTAGATCTAGTCTTCAATGCGTCCTAATCTTTATCGCAAACATTTGAATGTTGACTTCTATTTATGCCAAGTAACACAATTCTAAATCAAATTGTAAAAATTATCCAACGTGGGATGGTATGTGCTTACTCTTCTTTTTTGAAAAGTGTGCAAATATTTAGGCAAAGTAGTTAATATTAGGTGAGGTATTGTGAACCGGAAAAGATGATTTGACTTTTAGATACTCACCTGTTCGTATATAAATTGAACTGATTGTCCTCAACATAAATCACGGTTGAGTTCCAAAAAAAACACATAAATCACGGTTTGTTCTCCTTGAGAACCTTCAATCATTATTGCGTCCATTTAATGAGAATTTGGGATTTGGAAGCTTAGAGGCCCATGGTTTAAACTTTAGACCATTGATGGATCCTCATATGTTGGTACAGGTTTGCAGCTTACCCAATATCTGCTACTTTCTTTTAGAATTTTTCAGATTTGTAATCTTGTTTTAGAATTGCCAAGGCACACACCATTTATGATGCGTCACTCTATAACTTTATACTATATTTATACATTTAAATTTATTTGCACTGTTATCTGTTGAACTTTTATGGCCAATGCTAAAAATTCGCATGATTCGTGCAGGTCTCTTCTGGTCGCTAATGCTGGTGATTGCAGGGCAGTTCTTTCCCGGTATGGCACTGCAATTGAAATGTCCATGGACCACAGGCCTTGTAGCCTCAGTGAAAAATTGCGCATAGAATCGCTTGGTGGCTATGTGGATGATGGCTATCTGAATGGTCTGCTAGGAGTCACTAGAGCGCTTGGTGACTGGCATCTTGAGGGTATGAAAGAAGTTGGCGAGCCAGGAGGTCCCCTGAGTGCTGACCCAGAGCTCAAGATGATCACACTAACAAAGGACGATGAGTTCTTGATAATTGGCAGTGACGGAATCTGGGATGTCTTCTCAAATCAAAACTCCGTGGACTTTGCACGGAAGCGCCTCCAAGAGCACAACGATGTGAAATTATGCTGCAAGGAAATCGTTGAGGAGGCAATAAGGCGAGGGGCCACTGACAACTTAACTGCAGTGTTGGTCTCGTTCCACCCAGAGGCCCCTCCTCAGGTCAAAGTGGACCGTCCCGGTAGGGTGGCACGGAGCATATCAGCTGAAGGGCTCAATAGCCTCAGGATACTCCTGGGAAGGCAGTAACCGAATTCTTGTCACAATTAGGCTCTGTGTTGCATTGCCGAGTTGTAATTGTATGTAGTCATCTCGGCTCCTCATTGTTGTTAGTTGATACCCATTGCTGCGACACACGTTACGATTCTTGTTGGTAATTGAACCAACAAACTTGATATTATTCTTGTTGGTGATTGAACCAACAAATTTGAGCTCCATCTAGTGAGAGATTTTAAGCAGATGAAAGTAAATCTAGCAAAGAAGCTGTGAGTTCCTAGCTCACTGTGTAATGTTTGCCCCCTTTTTTGTAAATAAAAATGTCACTGCCTAGCCTTGAAATTGACCTTGCGCCATGTAACAAATGATTCATTGACTGAAATGTGTCAAGACTGGGTCAAATTTCCTGTTCTTCTCACATGATTGTTCACTTGTGTGGTCTCACTCCCATGATACAAAAATTATCCGCTCTGTTCGTTTGGGCTGGTTTGGCTTATAAGCCATGGCTGAAAGTACTGCTGGCTGGTTTGATGTGAGAGAAAAATAATGTTCGTTGGTTGATAAGCCATGGCTTATAAGCCAAATACGACCAAGCGAACACAGTTGAGAACAATGTAAGCAAACTGGTTAGGTTGCGCAAACACCGATCGTTGTCGACTGACTATTGTTGTCTGTTTGCAACAAGGTCAAAATAATGCCTTTTCGATATGCCAGTAAAATAATCGAATTTACTAGTTAGCTTGTACTTTATTGGAGGAATGCACGAACAAATATACGCACTCGTGTACATTTCTCTACAGACAAACACACAAGTTTCTAGGCCCCTAGGGGCAGATGTATGTCATACCTGAGACCAGGCAGAGTACTTGCCAAAATTATAATTCTCTTTGGTACTTTCAAGCATGGCATTAGCACCTAATCCAGGGGCCAGTGGCCTAAACAAGGACCATATTTTGGGCAGACATACCTCTGCAAAGGCCGGCACAGAGAACATAAACTATGGCCACATCTTGCATTGGTACTTCAGGTAACCCCTCTGCTGCAGACATGAGTACACCAATCACTGGATGGGGCCAGGGTAGTGTTCCAGAGCAAAGATGTATATATTCATCTCTGAGTCAAATGGTTCAGCTTCAAGCAACAAAGACCATAGCTCTTCAGTCTTCACTATTCCAACTGAGCTTCACTACTGAACTGTTCCAAGATCCTCACACAGAGTCACGGAGATAAGATGAAGAACTCCTTGCCGTTGGTGGTGGTTGTCATTGTTCTGTTCCTGGTGACGGCAAGGGTGCAGGGTATTCGGCTCGATGCAGAGAGCCATGAGGTATTCAACAACCAGATGGTTCATGTAAGTAACAGCTATTCGCAAGCGCATTTCATACACACCGTGCGGTGATTCTTTCTGCAGTTCCTAACTGTTGTGCATTCTTTGGTTATTTCAGAAACCTGGGGAGATGGGAGTGAGGTCCACTGACAATGAGCCATCTGGTGGTAAAATGGAGGAAAGCATTTCTGAAGAAAAAGATCGAGTTGGCCACGGTCTACCAGAGATTCATGTCGATTACTATGGTCCAAGGGGTCATAAGCCTACACACCACTGAGCAAAATTTTCTTCTTCTGTTCAGTTTTTTTTTTTTTTTGTCTATTTTTAGATGAACCCCCTTAAACTAGTGAGCGCGTCACTTGAGCCTGCCTACTCTAGCAGATAGTAATACCCAAGATTGTATTTCATTTATTGTCCACCCCTCCCCTCTTCTTTTATTTTGCTCCCTCTGAAGAGGGGAAGAAACAGAAACACCACTGATGTACTAACTTCTTGAAGGAAAAATCAATCAAGAAATAGCAAATTCCAGGATTACTAAAGAACTGCAGCTGGGTGTCCAGGTTCCAACTGTAGTATTACTAAGTTCACCAGGGGTAACTACTGTTACTCTCCAAGTGGATTTGGTTCACCAAGGACGTGTTTAGTTTAAGGAATAGGGCTTCTCATTCCTTATATTTTTGTTTGGTTCGAGGAATGAAATCTATTAGTCTGTTGCCACATAATCCCTCACAAGTTAGCTTAATAACGAGAAATGGATTTATCCTGATGCAATGACTCCATGATGGACCATTTCATTCTAGATAAGGTGATTCTTTAGACCAAACACTTCATAAGTTTACTTAGCAGGTTCTTTAAATGCAAAAATATCCCACTTCTATATTGAGGCAAAAGGATAAAAGATACTGGTAGTTTTTGGCCGGCTTTATGGAGCAGAAGAATATGTGTGGCGTCCTGTACTTACTCCAACACTGTATGCGTAGATTCAGTTGATGGTGTCACGTATGGCTGAGCATTGCCGGATATGCTGCAGTGTTCCTCGCCAAAGTACATTCTATTAGTCTTCTTTATGTGTTAATGACGAGACATACTTTTCAAAGCTTTTGACTGTAGCTAGTCATTAGCTCTTTGATAGTTGATGCTTGACATGCCAATTAGATGTGTACATAAAACCGGAAGATGAACCCCGTCTCACAAAAAAAAAAGGAAGATGAGAACCAAGCGGTTTTTGCAATGAAATTTATCGCACATCTCAATCATCCATCTCTTTGTTTCCCCAAGTGGGCACATATCTTGCGCAAATGCAACTCATGTTGCAAACAGGGCAAATACACCAAAGAATTCGTACTTCAAACAATTTTGAAACTTGGCACATACATATAGCTCATCCATATATATGTACTTTGTGGCAAAGATTAAAATATATCATGAACATGACAAAGTTCAGGACAAATGTGGTACATGAAAAAATGGCTTTAAATCTCAACTTTGTAACAAAGTACACTAGATGAACTATGGATGTGCATGTGCTAAGTTTCAATTTTTTCGAAGGCCTGGGTCAAATGGTGTATTTGCTCCATCTGCACAAGATATGCACCCTTTGTTTCCCATGCCAGGATTGTGTGACCATAGATCGAACATACTACACCATAAGTTGCCTTACTTTAGATTCCATATCATTTCCTACTATTTTTATGCTTTGCACTTTACAAATAAACTAGACATTTATCACCTTTTGTATTTCACCATACTTTGTAGTCACCATCGAACCAAATATGATCTTCTGCCTTTGCACTAACTAGAGATGTAGTAGCATGTAGCTTATGTTCATATAAACACTAAACAATATCATTTGGCCATTTATTTGAGCTAAATGGTCATTTAAATGGGATAATCAGCTGACTAAATGAACATATCTAGCCATGGCACATATAGCCATTAATTTTACAAACACCCAAATAGTGTGGACACCACGGTTTGAGGCTTAGTGGGGTGGAGTCATGCATTGACTTACCACCAATTTGATATCATGGTGTTTCATTCACCAGGGAGGGGCTAAAAGTTAGAGGGTATTGAAATTTGTTACTTTTGTAATAGCAAGGAAACTATTCTACACTTACTTTTACTGTCATGTCACACACTTTATTTGGAGAGTGGTTCAAGTTGCATGTGGTTTAGGATCACCAAGGGACGCTACTTATTTCTTGGGCTTTAGCAACAAGAAGTAGATTCAAATTTGCACACTCAAGTTTACGTGGGAGCAAGTGCAATCATTTGGTGTATTTTGTTAAGTTGAAATAGTGTAGCTTTGAATACATAGTGCACACACTTTTGATCCATCCTTCAAAAGGATAATAACAAACCAAGATTGAAATGTGCATGTCATATGCTGGAAACCCTAACAATGAAGATTTTTCGTCAAGTATGGATGATTGTCTTTTAATAGTTTTTGTGCTTAGCTTGTTGTTTTAGTTTGCATTTTTTTTATCATTTTATTTGGTCATTTTTTATATCTTACTTTAATTAGCCAAAGGTTGGAACTATATGATGAATGATTAAGTGTATGACTTATGTAGAGACAAAAATGTAGCGACTAGCATGGCCCATATAAGTCAGCACTAGCATGCACTACTACAGATTGACTTATCACTATCGCCACTTTCACTGCCGTAGCGATAGAAGCGACGGTGTGATACTTGCACCGTCGGTTGGAAAGATAGCGAGGCCTCCTAGGACTAAAACCGACAGTTCAGGCTTCTACCACCGATGGGTTAACGATAGATGCGGCAGTGAAAAGCCAAGCCAACTAGGATATGCATTTTGCCCGCTGCCCTAAAGTAGTGTTTGGTCAACCGACGGTAAATTCAGCGTGAGTGTTGAATTGCCTCAACTTCCAAGGGCGTCAAATCACCATTACTTCCGCCGCTTGAAGCCCAAGAGCCGCGTACCTACTGCTCTACATATACTTCAGGCCCGGTGCCCTCTCAAATGATGTCACACCCAATTTTAAGGATAAAATGGGATGCGAAATCTTATGTGCGCCCAGAGATCAGTCACACACATAAGCCGACAAATTATGAATAGTATCATCACAAGTGTTTATTACATCACGAATAAGACAAAGTTATCACATAAATATAGCGGAAGTAAGAAAAGATCTCTCGCGGAAGCTCCATTTCACAGGCACGTCGACTGGTTGACCACAAGTCTAAAAGTCCTCTGGAAAATTATCATACCCATAGCTATCTATTACCCATCCAGGATTTTTATCCAAATAATAAAAATAAACAAGCGTAAGTACATGTCGTACTCAACAAGTGTAACATGGGGTTCATGAGGCTCAAAAGGCTTGACACAGGTTTAACAATATTCAGCTTTTAGTTGTCACAATTTTAGCATAAGAGTAGCCACAAATTGTTTCAATTCCCAATGTAAAACACATGATCAATGTAAACATGAATAATGAATAGCATAAACAGATAATTCTTAGCGTTCATCTATTCCGTAACTGTTCCAAGGCCGCTCGTGACCGTGAGCATGGCTGATATATCAGTTTTACACTCTGCAGGGGTTGTACACTTTCACTTTGAGTTGTGATACCCATATGCCCGAGTTAATTACTCCCAAAACACTTCCAAGGTGAGCAGGCAGGGGTCACTATGAAGCCTTTCAAAGGTTCGTCTAACAAGTTAGGGCCATTAGATTCACT